TTATTTCATCGCTCTTTTGTTAACAAAAGAGCGATGAAATAATGCCAGTGCCAGTTCATCTGTCAGTTGTTATCTCCAGTGCTGAGCCTTATTAAACCCCGATGTTGCATATTTGTGGCAACTTGTATAATGAGCAGAATTCTTGAGGCCAAAAGTGATCGAGTATGTGAAACATCCCGGGGCAGAAAAATGAATGACATCATGTTTCCCTGGTAAGCTCACTTGAAACAAAGTGTGTGGTAGAAATTACCAAGGCGTTAACAGTTGCGTGTTCTTTCTCACTGTAATGATGTAAGTTGAATGCACAGGTTACACTCAGACATGCACCCCACCCTTCACTCAAGCTGCTACAAAACACTAACAGTTTTTTTTTTTTTTTTTTTTTTTTTTTTTTTTTAAATGACACAAAGGAATTTTAATTGGCCTCATGGACCCGAGGGTTGTGAGGCATTTCCCAACACATAAACACCACAACTAGAGCTGTGAGGACAAAACAAATTCCAGACATTTTTCAAAACCTGGCAACACAAAAGTTATTCTTTCAGTGGTTTGTAATTGATCTATAAAGCAGTGAACACATTATTAAACATTACTTAACTATGACCTTTATTATAGAAGTGGAACAAGGTCTCTGCTGTACTGGCCATGAGTTGTTAAATGTCTCAGTAGTTGACCGTCTCCAGCTTGTTTCTTCAGCGGCCTCTCTGAGGTCCCAGGATTGTCCATATAGTGGAGCAGAGCTGTCCTGCCTGGACCCACGCTGGCTCCATGACTTTCCCCAGAGACCCTGCTGCCAATGTCACCTGGGACCCGGACACACCTGTGGTAGGTTGTACTTCAGACTAAAAGATATTTTATACTATGGTCGAATTTTGGCATCAAACAGCTGATGACTATAAGGAAAGTATTGTATTCCAACTTCAGTAGTATACTGAAGAGTGGCTTCATTGTGTCTTTAGACTGTGGCAGGTGGGTGAGTTTCCATTTGTGTAAAGTTTTGTGTGTGGTTTTCAGGTCCAGTCCACCTGATCCCATCTCTATGCTGTGATGAGAGCTGCAGTCTGGGCCGCAGCCAGGACAACAGCCCCTTCCAGTCCCAGATAAGCCTCAGTGACGGGTGAGGAAATTGTGTGCTCATAAGAATGAACAGGCACCTGATTTTAAAGTCTTAGTTTTCGCCCCTTTTTAAATAATAGTGAGTGGTAGGTAGGACAGTCAAATAACATAGTCACTAACTCAGGCTGAACACCTGCACTTAATAAACTCCATATTACATGTACTACATTACTGCTGAACATAACATGATGTGTTTGATGAACACACAATCTAAACTATCTAGCGACATGACTGAAAACATTTTTCTTCCCAGAGGGAAATGACTATTAAACCCTGTAATGTTTACAGCACGCTCTGCTGACTGCCCTGAACCTTTACAGCTGGCTAATATTCAAGCCCAACTACCCAACAGACAAAATAAAATTACAATTATGTACACAATTGCATGTCTTTGCAATGTAAATAAATTGCAGCTTAAATATGGCTTAGCGTAGAAGATAATCACTGTAGCTCAAGTGGTAAAACACAAAGTAAGGAACGTACTGGTGTTCACTGACTAAAATGAAGATCAAAGAACTTCCCACAGTGTCATTCCCCATCAGCTAGTGTTTGTTACTCCTATATTAAACCAGGCAGGTAAACACTAAACAGCTTTTTGGAGATAAAGTAAATGACATTCAAAATCTGTAGCGATGAACCAAGCCGTTCTCAGAATTGTGCACTCTATCATAAGTCTGGCCTAATTGCCAAAAAATATTCACTCCAGTCTTCCCAGATAACATTCTCTTTTCTGTCGCTATTGAAGGTGCTGCAGACATAATTTTATGTGGTTGACTCTTTGAAGTGCTAAGAACAAACTGAGGCAGCTCACATGAAGGAAAAAAAACACAGGGTTTGCTTGTGAACAGATCAATTTGTGATAATAACGGCAGCTTTCTTAAATCCTCTCCCCAGAAATACAAACCAGGATGAGGAGGGCGCACCAATGCAGCAGGGAGGATGTCCGGAGTCCATCTGCAAAGAGGATGGTGGGATGAGAGGGAGTTCAGAGCCTGCAGAGTGTTTGGGGCTACCCCAGTGCAACACTGAACCTGCAGGGAGGCTGGAGGTGGGAGAGGAGGAGGAGGAGGAGGATGATGAAGAGGAACAGTGCAGGTCAAAGGAGAATTCACCTGAGCGCACCAGGCAGAGATACAGTGACGCTGTGACAGATGCACTTCTTCCCAAACAGCACTCAAGTCAGGAAGGTGAGGTGACACATTGCTGTCAGACAAAAGACCATGGTTTTTCATTTCATTCAGTTATTACATTTGCATGATTTCCCATTCTCTAGACACAAAACTGCAGACTGCTGAGTCCCCCCTGGTTTGCTTATCACATCCCTGGATATAAGTCAGTTTTCCTCATGAATGTTTTTGCTAGGTGTGTTAAGACACTGCCATGGCAATTGAAGTGAGTTACCTCAAAGTGCTAACTGATCCTCCGATTCTTTAGTGTCAAAAGGGGAGGCATGTGAGAGCTAACTGCAGAGAAGACAAATATGGGCTGTCCCACACCAGACAACACAGAACATATGAAATAAATACTACAGAACCTTTTGAGCGTCAATGTTTCAGATTGCACTGTATCTTCAACTTCCCTCAAACTGCTGCGTGTCATTTTCTTTTATGTGGCCTAGGACGTGTGTGTGTGTCCATGAAAAGCAGCTGGTAAAAGAAAGAAGAGATACCACGAGCTCTTTGATGTAGACTAGACTATCCTGTTTTAAGTCGGCCCCTGGCTGGCTCTGGGTAAGATACGTTACTAATCACTGCGTGCCTGTGTTCCTCTTCCTGCTCTCTCTCCAGGATGACATGGCTTTCTTTGGCTCGTGTTCCACCCTTGAACCACCCTGGACTCAACAGCCACGGACCAGATCCTGCATCAGATTACTCACGCCCAACACACACGAGAGGCAGCCGGTGTGGTCACACTGCCTCTTTGAAATGCCTGCTGCTGACCTCAGAGCCCCTTGTCAACAGAATATGTACATACATGCAAACAAAAGCACTGAGGATAAGCAAAGCACCCGGGCAAAGGGACACACATACACACACACACACACACACACACAAAATGTGAACTCACTGGCCCAGAAGGTGAAATTGAATGAAGTTGAAACGTCGCAGAGCCATTGACTTGATACCGCGGGGTGGATCAAGTGAGCCTCTGCTCTGCCTTGAGAATGTCTTCCATCTTCACATGTAGGAGAACAAAAACTGTACTGCTGATCTAGCAGCTGGTGTTATGAAGCTTTTGTGTGTAAAAGGTAACAATTTGTGGAGTGAAGAAAAGTATCAAAAGTGATAATGTTGCACATTGAAGACAATCTTAATATGGAACAACTTAAGACGAGGAAGTGATAAACGTGTTGTAGATACTGTAAAATATGAATCGGGTCAATATTTTTGTAACATAGACTTGACTATGTCTGCTTTTCTTTCCCCAGTTATAAAGTTGATGGTTGTGAACGGTCACTTCCACGTATTGTTTTTGTAAATAAACAACTTGAACAAGTTTACACACTGAAGAATTTATTTTCCAAATTATTTATTGCATTCATTAAATCAAGTGATTTAGTAATGCCCTGCTACAGAGTTGAGGGACTCATGTTTCATAATTGATACTGCAGAGGCTGACACAAGGACTTTCTTGTCTTTAGTTTGGTTTTAGCTTACACTTCCCATAATGTTACTCTGCAGTTGAAAGATTCAACTCATCAGATCAACAGAACATAAATTGTCAACTATTTTAATAATTGACTAATCTGAGTTTGGTAGGTCAGATAAAACAAGTATTTTGTAGAAACTAAACTGTGGAAGTTTTCACTTTTTTTTTTTCTCCACATTTTATAAGCAAACTAAAAATAATCGTCACAGTACTGCAATACAACGGTGTCATTTTGTAAAACCCTCCCAGCCTTCTAAACACCACTGTCTTTCAAACGGCAACGTGTTTATTTAGCTTACCCTCCTTTGTATCAATGGGACAGACAAAATAATAGAAACACCTGCCAGTCCAACGGCACCACAAAGTGCAGCCTCCAACACTGCTATGAAGTTGAATCAACACCTCTCTAAAAGAAAACTGAACATGTTAACCTTCATGAAGGGAAACTTTACATTAGTTACATTTTCCTTAGTTTTAACCAGGTATACCTAATGAACTAGCAACTGAGTGTAATACTGTTTTTCACAGCCTGAGTAGTACTCCTTATGACAAACTTACTTTAGTGTGTAAAATTGTCTATTTAAGTCTAATGACAACAACACTGTTTCTAAATTCAACTGAAGTGCAGCCACAGAATTTCAGCTGATATAATTTACCTCAAGTTCAACTGGAAATAGATCAGAGGTTAAAAAAAACATCTGAAATCATGGACTTCTCACAGCCCCTGTGTGGTTAGAGCCACCCAGCGTGCTCAGTCCCTCTGTGATGGCGTGTTCACACCTTCAATAATCAATGTGTGGCTGCTCCTTGCCACCTGCCTCGGATCTCATATCTGAGCCAGGCAAGCAAGGACAGTATTAAAGGAGGCAGCTGACCACAAATTTCCAATGTCTGACTGAAAATTCAAAACTAAAAGTGCTGAATTTCCCTCTCTACCACCGCATGAAACACTCCTCCTTCCCCTGCACAACTCCTGACAGACAAAAAAGATGGAGCGGTATTAATTCAAAGCCTAAACAATGACCACATGACAGGAAGAGCAGATTAAGTACTCTTCCTCACACTGATTTGATCAGGAAAAAACAATGTTCTGCTAGTGTGTGAGCAGAAAATGGATATTCCATGAGGGGATAGTAGTTGTGGAATTAATGAATAAGAAAGACTAATAAATTATAAAACCACAAAAATTTTAACTGAATATATTTATAGGGATGTGTTACCTAACACCTACATACCTACATTTTTCTGTTCATTTTTTCAGTCCAGTGCTGACATACACTAAGGTGAAAAAACATATACAAACTCAAAATAGTTTTGTGATATTAAACAGGTTTGTGGCCTGGCACAAGATGATGTTGAAATACAATTAGTGGTGACTAAAATCTGCAACAACCAATATTCAGAGATGATTCGTTTACAGGGTTTGGCAGCAAGTCTTTAATTCTTATCATATAAACTTATATTGACAGCAGAATTAGAATGAGTCAATGTGACTTAAGAGAGACCAGCAATATAAAATGTAAAGATGCTTAGTAAGAATGAGCGTGCCCCCTGCTGCCATGTCTTACATCTGTTGGCCCAGCATCCACCTGTATCATTAGTGCACTTTTTGTCCATAGCGGCAAATTTCAGCTTTCAGAGTCCATGATGAAGGTCTCGAAGTTCGGGTTGAGCTCAGACACCAGCGCATCCACAAAGTCCTCAATGGTCGGCCGTCTCTGCAGCATCCCTGTCACACAAAAACACAAAGCAGCATATTTTAGTGTTTGTGTGTGTCTGTTCAATGCACATGTGTCTCTGGGAAGGAAACATCTCTTGCAGGGCAATGAGATGAGCTGGTTTTCTGTTTCCATCAATCCAGCTCACCTCATTCGGACAGGAAAAGTGCAGCTTTTTGGAACATTTAAGCTGAAGTAAATGCTGTGGTTTTAAAAAAAAAGAGAGCACGCTGAGGCTAATATGAGCATTTTTAAGAAATCCTTTGAAGCAAGTGCTATTTTTATCCCCAATTAAGCTAAAATCCAATTAAGCTCATTGACACAGGCTGCTGCTCCTGAGACTTCCACTGTACCTGCAATGTCATCATCACTAGTATAATGTATTTTAAGGATGGCTTTCTTTGTAACATTTGGATCTTGTAATTTGTAGTATGTATGCAGCCAGTTGCATTTTAAAGTAAATCTCCAAATTCAATAAAACTTCATTTTTCATATCCAATCATTAACAGACAACCTAAGAGTTCATACCATCTTACTGTCACACATATTGCAGCACGTTTTGTTTTTCTAAACAGCACCCTTTACACATTCTCCAACAGGCACAGAAACTTGGAGAAACAAGCTTTGTGGAAACCTTTAACAGGCCTCAGATGTTGATGTGATCCAAAAGGCCGCATGTAGTAAAACACAGCTATGAAGTTCTCAACATCTTTTATTTCTGCCTTTAATAAAACTAAAAAGGTAGACTGGTAAAACATTTTATTGTGCTTTATAGGGGTGATACTGAGCTCACACACACTCTCGTTACACCAGACAGTGACTAGCGGCGTAGTGCAAATATGACTGTGCAGCCGTCGAGCAAGCCCTGGGAATGTCTGTCTGTGTTTTGAGAGCCTGTCTGCCAGCTCATGCGTGGAGGACTCCCTTGCTTGCTTTACAATTCAGCTGCACGCCCGCTTTGAAGTCAGTTCATTTCCCCTTGTGTAGCTGCCAATGTAAATAGGCGCCCCCCCTCCCGCATGGGTCACCTCCAACGCACACACACTTGAACACACACACTCAATCGAACACAAGCATGTCTGCACAGGCACGCATGAATGGACACGCAAATAGTTTCACATAGCGATCCAGAACGCATGGACACACCGCAAGATATGGATGGACACACACACACACACACACACACACACACACACACGGGAGTCTATGTTGCTGCCATCATGAAACTGGCTCAGCAGGTAGAAAGTGAGGTTTGGCCCGGCCTGCAGTGAATCGCCTTGCATGAGAGCACCAGAGAAGGGATTATCATCTCCTCTTACCCACCGGTCGCACCCTGCCCCTTGGCTACAAGATGATACCAACATACAGAGGTAACACACCACAACTGCAAGGCCTCTGGATCTCTGGGAACAAGGCAGCCACATGAAAGTGATGATTTCCATCCATAAATGATAGCCCTGATTCAAGAGCTGTAGGATGTATTTACACTGTGACCGTTGACGTCTATAGCAGTTGACGGTCCCTTTAAAGTGGAGACCAAAATGGTATGAACAGCTCAAGCTGCATGAGCAGGTATTAATACAGAGAAAATTGAGGCCAGCTTATCAAGTTGCACGTAATTCCATCTTTAGAGAGCTGGCTTTGTAAGGAAATACAATTTACAGAGTTGTAATTTTAATCCAGAGTTTCTTTCCAACATAAACTCATAGTGTCGGAGGTGAAAGGGGAAATGTTCAGGCCAACATTCCTGTATAGGACATCTCCACCTCTCTAATGATGAAAAACAGGAGTCTACAGTCATGCTCTGTGAGGCTGCACTAAATGCTAATGTCAGCATGCTAATATGCTCACAATGAGTAAGCTTTCTTGTTTTGTGTTTTTAAATCTAATTACTAGCTACTAGACCAGAAGAAACTTTGGGTGTTGGGGTAAAATGTCACATGTTCTCAAAACTTGTCAATGTAGTTTTTAACTTAAAACCAAAACAACAGGCTGAAAGATGCTAAAACACTTCATAGAGCTGAGGGGAACTGTGGAGTCAGGTGATAATTCTCCGTCGGTTTGTCATCAGGAATGACCCCTTTTACTTTACACTGACAGGACACTTTAGTGCAGCAGTAATCTAAAAGACTTATTGGGAAGTCTTACTTAGGAAGTAGTACAATTACAGATCAGGTCAGAGGTCAGGGTCAGTCACAGAACAGGATTCTTGAAGCTAAAAGGGCAGCATCACTACACCAGTATGAAAGAAACAAGTGCACAGGTATTCACAGTGTGTTGACAGTGTGTGCAGCTACTCATTTGAACTCTCCACACACATCTGCAGCATCACCAGCACTTTCTCTAATAGATGTAATTTCCTGACTGTGTATTATCTACGGGGCAATCTGATGTCTGGAGTCTCGCCTGCCACAGGGTAGTGTGTTAAACAAGCAAAAGTTAACCTGTCAAGAGTGATGAGAAGAGGAGGAGGAGGGGAGAGAAAGAGAAAGAACGAAGTTAGAGATGGATAGGTGTGATCATGAAAGACGTTAGGCAGGTAAACAATAACGCCCTCGCCGGCTTCTCATCACCAACAGCTCGGGGTGTCAGCACCTGGGTCTAAAACGGCGACCAACAGCAGATGAGAGGTACAACAATATGCAGTGAGGAGTGAGTCTTTTCTCAAATCAGATCCCTGGGAGAGTTTGAGAGGAATGCACAGATAACCTCAAAGTCATAACAACACTGTGGAGGAGTATCTGATCTGAGAAGCTGTTCTGACAGACAACACTGGGAGGAGTGGAGTCAGACAAAACAGAACGGCATACTGCACCGCAGCTGAAGAAAATGGATGCCTTTGAATTACCTGAACACCCCCCCCCCCACACACACACGTAAATGGTGGAGCTGTGCTGTCTAAAGAGGGTAAACAAAGTAATGTGTGTAGAAACCCATCACACTGCTGCGACTTTAAAGACTTACTATTTAAAAACAGTTTTTTTCCCCAGGTTTTTGACATTTCTGCCTCCACCCAAACACAATGGTGGCCAAATAATTCAACAGCAACGTGTTTCTCCCCACTCACCGGATAGTCCACAGACCTCACTGGAACTACTTTGGTGAAAAGTAGTTCCAGCCACATCCTGCCACTTTACAACAACAGTACCTCCGCACTGTATGAGTCTCTCTGCATGCTTGACAGCATTACAGTGGCCAGAACTATCCACTCACTCTTGGCAACACACATAGGAAAGACCAGAGCCAAACTAAACATAGACTGTGCTTTGTGTCCATTGTTAGGAGAGCCTTAGGACAGAGGATTTGCCATGTGAGTCATCTCAGATTTAAGAGTTTCCATTTCCATTCATAATGGCACTGACACAGCCATTAAAGAACAAGGCTTCTACCCATTACAGTCATCCCAGGGCCGGCAGCGTTACCCACCTTGGCCAACAGAGTTGGATAAAACAGCAGGTGTTAAAAGACAAATAAAGTAATTACTGATTAAGAACACACTTTTTAAGCCAAACCCTGCTTTGCAGCTGAACAGCCCAACTGAAGCTACAGACAGTTGAGTACCTTGGTCAAAGGTACTTCAAGTGTACTTGTTGGGGAAGGAAAGTGCACTACTCATTGTCTATCCTTGCCCAATTTTTTTTCAAGCTGGTGTGGGAATGTTCAAATCACAGACCCTCTTCTTCAGCTCGACTTCCACAGCCTCTTCTAGTCTGCAATTTCCCAATACAGATCAGAGGGATTCTTTCCACTGAGAAATGGAAACCCATTTTCTATTAAGACATAGTACTTAAACATAGCTCTTGGCTTTTCCGCTAATGCCACCTGCTCTAATCACATGACTAAACATGTAAATCCCAGTGAACAGCAAAAGTCTGTTACCGTGTCCACCCTCTGATAGCCAGAATAGGCTGCGAAATGCAAGTCTTTCAAGTAAACAGAGCTTCATCTCTCACAGGAGAACACGCACAGAATCATTTATTTATTTAAAAGGGTGGTGGGCGATGGGTATCAGTCAAATGAAGACCTATGTGGCTGGCTAACAGCTCTGTGCCTTGGTAATGACCGGCTCTGGGGACAAAAATTCAGAAGAAATGTTTCAAAATTGCTGCACAGCCTGCAGCTACTGCTGGTTGAATTTATCAAACATCTGAGTAACTGCCTAAAAAAGAGTTTTCACAGATAAAGAAATTGGGAGTAAACTGTCTGATGACCTACAGTCTTTTAAGAACAGTTAAATAAAACAGTATTCCCATGTTTGAGGAAATTCTGAACAGGTTTAACTTTAAGATTTTGATCATTAGTCAAATATGCAGAGTAAAGAACAACCTTTGGAGAAGTACAGCTTTACTACAAAAACACATATTTCTTTCTTGGCTCCCTGAATGCAAGCACTTTTATTTTTACCTGTATTCTGCTATTAAACCACTAATTAGCACTGCCTTTAACCATGCAGAAGGCTTAGCTGAAACTGGCTGTTTTATAAGCGCTATTGATCCCAGTCCCATGGGCTTGGCTGTGTCCTGTTCTTTCATGATTTAATTGGTTGCTTTTAAAGGCCAATTACACCCATTTGCAAAAAAAAAAAAGAAAAAAAAGGGAGCAGCAGCACGCCACATTTGTACATTTAAAATGCGAACAAACTGCAGTGAGCAGTCACTTGAGCCTCACTGCCTCCGTAGCGTCATATTCCCCGTATGTGTATCAAAGAATATTCATTCAGAATTTATGATCACACATTTCAAAACATGTTTCTGGCTACTTCAGTAGTCGTTCAGCCGCTGCTCATAACCATTCAAAACATGTCAAGGTGCAAAAAGCAGTTAGCTCTGTCAAACCTGGAGGCAAAACTTCAGCTTACTGCCTATGTAATTACACCTTTGAAGTTCAGGAAGCTTTTTCTACAAACAACACTTAAGACAGGCCCAGAAAGCAAGCAAGACAAGGGTGATGACAAACATTGCACTGGGAAGCTCTTTGTTGAGTAAGTGCCATCACAAAAGAAAGAAAAAAGAAGAAAAACCTGCAATGTTATTCATGATAAACCCTACAAAACTCACTTACCAACCTGTTAAAAAACAGTAAACACATGATTCTTTGCCATAAGAGTACACTGTGTCCAGACTGAAATCTCAACAGCTATTGTATGGATTTCCATGAAATTCTGACAGTCATACTCCCTAGAGGATAAATCCTAATGACTTTGGTGATCCCCTTACTTTTCCTCTAGTGCCACCATAAGGTTCAAATTTGTGTTTTTTAATGTAATATTTTGACAACGTTTGGATGGATTGACATGAAATTTGCTTCACACGCTGATGTCCCCCCTCAGGCTGAATTGTGACCATCGGTTCAAAACCAACAGACTAATTTCTCTAACAGTTTGGTTTATGACATTCCCATTGGACTGAGCTGTATTTTGTGTTTTTAATGTTAGCATTCTAACATGATAAACTAAGTTAACATGATAAACATCAGCATGTTAGCATTGTAATTGTGAGGATGGTATCATGCTGATGTTAGCATTTAGCTCAAAGTGCTGCATGTGCCAAAGTACAGTAGACTAAATCTTGTTCATTCATTTCCTTGTGAAAACTCAAAAACACACGTCAGGCAAGGAGACACGCCTAAATCTATCAGCATTTCTGCAACTGTCACAGTTCTTTAAAATGCCTCCCTTTGGTTAGATTTCTGTCACACAAAAGCTAAAACAAACTGGCATCTATGTCAGCAGCAACGACAAATATTTCTTCATATTTTTCAGGACTTTTATTACCTTTTTCTTCCCAGTGCTGTTGTCATCAAGAGGCAAATTACTATCAGTAAATCAATGATAAGACACTTCTGTCTGTACCTGTGCTGTATGGAGCACTAAAAAGATAACTTTCATCATATATCATGTCTGTTTTTAAGTAAGGGCTATAAATCAAGTATTTTGCGGAGTTACATCTTAGCTGTGAAGTTCAATCCAATCCTCTCCTCCTGTTCAGCCAGAACTATACATCATTGTCACAAAAGTGGTGTGGGACTGTAGACCACTGTGCTCTTGGGGTTTATTAGTGACTATGCAAGCAGTCATAAGAACTATTGAGTCAAGCTGCCTCCGGACAAAGAACTAACAGGGTCCTGGGATTCGGCTACAAAGTCAGAGTAGATCCATTTTCTGTGCTCGGCAGTCGTGGCTATGGGAACATTCTGGGCCATGAAAGCCGTCTCTGTAGCAGGAGCCGAGATTCAGCTCAGTCTGTCGATCACCTTTCACTCTCTCCTTCCCTTTCTCTTCCCTCTTACTCTCTCACTTTTTCTCTGACTCGCTCACTCAGTCCTGATGCTGCTGCCCTGGATTTGATGCCCGGGTTTACATTTCAACACTGTCTTTCCTGGGAAACATCCAGTAGCGGGCAGGGAGCCACGCAGATAAAGGCTGGCCTCTGATTGGCCTTGCTGGGCCTGCTCCGGTTCCCTGTGTGCCCTTGTAACCCCTCTACCACCTCGCTGAAGGGGACTGCAGGGAAATGTTACACACCTCAATTTACAAGGGTCTTTGTTTTGAAGGATTGTGTATAGTGGTGTTGGATCTGGATTCTGTGTCCTTCCTCTAGTCTTCTGGACTCTTTTGGCCTAAATACTACTTTTAGAAGGGGTCCTTCGTATTTTTCATTCTCCAGTTCGAAATCAAGATGGTTGCTATGAACCTCTCAGCCCCACAGTGAATAGTGGTGAAAAGCAAAATGTTTCAGCACATGCACTGATGTAGTTTTATAACTCCGACTACAGCTTTCATGAAGTAAATTATGAGCACATATGCAGCCATGAAAATGGTGATCGTCTGGATGAGTCTGTTTTCAAAATGTGGGGACGTTTCATCTTAGTTTGAGCATTTCTCCAGGCATGGGATAGATTTTATGATGATAAAAAAAAAGAAAGAAATGGGTTTCAGATGATTATCACAAATACAGGTGCACAGATTGAAACTGGACTGAAAGCTGCCAAATACGTGAGACTGGAATGCCTAGCCATTTCAAGCCTGTTTTAATTTGATCTGAATAGTCTGTTATAAAGTCCAGTGATTTTGTTATATACTGTTAAGTATTACGCCAGCATTCATTGTATCGTCTTGAGCCTTGCAAAATGACTTATGGCTGGGAAAGACAGCCAGGGGGATCAATATGTCCCTGATAACTATCCTGCACACAGGGCCTTGGCCTATAATTAGAGTAGCATTCACTTCAAAAGGGAACCATAAAAGCACATATTGTCAGTTCAACAACCTTTAATTGGTCAGTAGATATAATAACAAGGATCTGATCTGTTGGTGGCTGTAATTTCAGAGGCTGGGCACAGCCCTGTTTGGAGCTGTTAGAAGGACAATCTGATGGAGGTGGGAGGAGGTGACCTGAGGGAGAGATTTACACTCCTAAATGTCAACTGATATTACTACTCCCTCTCTCCGTCTCTCTCCCCTCACCTTCTCTTCTGTTGTCCTGTCCAGACATGCCACTGTGACTGCACAACCAGAGCAGGAGTGGAGGAAGTGATGGGAGGATGAAGGGATGAGGGCAACAGGAGGAATTAGGGCTTTTTTGCCTGTTAAGCCTATGTAAAGATAAACTTCAGCTAAAATGACATAACCTGATTAACTACAGTTTGATGGTTACAAACTTGGAGAATAACCATAAGGCATGCCAGAATATAGTCAAACAAGAGCCTAAAGCCATTCTAACATCTCTGTGAGGCTGAAATAAGGCACAGTGGTGCTTTGAGCGAAATACTAACGTCAGCATGTTAACATCGTCACAATGGCAACGCTATGCTGTAATGTTTAGCAGGTATAAAGTTCAACACGTTCTAAATGAGACATTAGGGAATCACCGAAGTTATTACAATTCATTCTGAGGGAGACATGGATGACTGCAACAGATTGCATGGAAATCCGTCCAACAGTTGTTGAGATGACGGTGCTAGAGGAAAAGTCATGGGGATCACCAAAACCAGTAAGATTCATCTTCTGGGGACCACGATTGTCTGTACAAAATTTCATCTTAATCTATCCAATAGTTGTTGAGATATTTCAGTCTGGACCAGAGTACTGGACCTACGTCTACAGAGCCATAGCTGACCTGAAGTGCTTAAAAGCACGGTGGAAAGTACCAGTCTGGGTTTTCAGCCCTGCAGAGTCTGCAGTTTTTAGCGCTCAAACCCATAATCATCAATGTCTGTGTTTCCCTCCTTCTAGATTTTGTCTGTGCTCAAAAATGTCTTTTACTTAAGTTTTTTTTAAGCAGATCAAATAACTGACCTCAGAAAAGGGTTGGAGTAACATGAATAGTGTGTGGTTGCCAGAGGGAGCTGACTCGACAATTTATCCTACAGCAGCCTACCGCGGCAGGACTGGCTGTGTCTGTGGGTTGACAAAGCTCTTGTAAACAAAGATAAGAAACCTTGGGAGGTGTGTTAAACTGGTAAATATGTGCCATTGTGGGACCTGAAGCACAGAGCGGGCCAAACCACAACAGCAGCAGCTGCAAACGTATGAAAACACTACATCCTGAGTAATAGACTCACAGCTGCTTCTGTCTGATGACAAACTCAAGTTAGTACTTGGGGGAAATTTCCCCTCAGGTGATCTTCAATACAACCTTTGCCAGTGAGGTTAACAGACTGTAATGGACATCAAGAAACCTTGAATAAATAAATACCTAGTTGCCTCAAATTATTGCTATTGATTGATGATCCTTCCTTGGCATTATCAACCCAACAATAACGTATCTGTATTCTCTTAAACATGCCCAATGATTGGTAATTTTGTTTTGGAAATATCAATAAGAAGAATGGATGGGACGTAATAATAACATGATACTATCAATGTGTTGACTGTAGTTAATTTTCACCCCTTGTTTGTTTTGTTACTTGTTTTTTGAATTGTGTATTCAGCTTCACTATGCAACAGGAGAAATTGGGTTCAGAATTGTCTTGTAGTACCTGTAATATGTAACAATGTTTTCTGTTTCCATATATTCTTTTCATTTATTTATTTATTATGTAATTTATTCTTCCTGTGTAATCATCTAGATAATTTTATTTAACAATTTCATCACAAAAATACAAACCTTGCCAAATGTGTAAAAGTGGAGACAAATCAAAGTTGTTGTTTTTTTTCAGTTACCTCCATTATCTAACTTTTTATGTGTGAACACCTTCCTACCAACACAAATTGTCACTAATCAGTACGTAGTTTCAAGAATTTTTCTGCCTCATATAAGAGGAGGCTGTTGACTTAAAGATCAGCTACCCTCCAGGCTGTCCAGCATGTCAAAACAAATACCAAGAGCATTACGTTTCAGTAATTATACACAACCTTTTTCACCGGTGCTACTAGGAGCTAATGGAGTCATACTGGAGTCCTAAACTGAAGGAAACCTGGAGATGAACTCTGGGGAAATCTCAAACTGTCAAACTATGGTTCAAAACAGCAAAATCTACCCAGGGCGGGTGTCCTGTACGGGGCTGTGGGGTCAAAAGGTCAGCTGAGAGACCAAAATTAGTGGATGGTGAACTGAGGGCTAAAAGTACAATTTATAAGTCTGATGTAACTCAAATATTTAGAGATGAACTGGCAATCAGATAAAGTGTGTAAACTGACTTTTATGGGTAAATGTAAAAAGATTCATTCAACATTTGGGGGGAGGGGTGGGACACGGTAAGTTACCTTCCACCATCAGCATGGGCTCCTTGGCTCCTCCATGGGCCAGCATCTCCCGACGGTAACGCTCACCCATGTCCCTGACAAAGAGAAAGGGAGCAAAGGGAAGACAAACACAGAAGAGCAAGAGATAAGGTTACAGACACCTGTAACTGCCCGTCGCCTCCTTATACTCTGTCAAGCTAGGAGCTACCACTACGTTTTTCAAAACAAAGCCTTTGTGCTTTCTCCTGGGGCAAATACATGTGATAAGGTAATGTGGATGCCAGGGAGCGTCCGTGAATTAAAGCAGACACCTGCCAAGTCGCCGTGAGTTTCATATTAATGTAATGTTCAATGTCAGGCAGCAGAGACTAAAACAGTATCCAGGGACGACTGCCTGTCAGGAGGCATCTGTCTCAGCGCTCCACGCCCAAAACAGGTTTACGATGTGCATTTGCATCATCTGTGCAACACTCTCACCATGAACACAAGGTTACATGAGACAAAAAGAGAGTCAAGACTGTGGGTTAATCAAACGCATGTATCCTATCCCCTTGGAGACTGAAGTACAGGAGCTGAATGGGTGATTAATAACTTTTCTGAACTAAAATACGCCTCAGTGAACCACAGGACCCTGAGATACTACTATTAAGATACGTTCACTGTTGTGACTTGAAGTGCAATGTTTAGTTAATTTCATCATTGCGTAAAATAATATATATCAAATAAAGCAAATTATTAAATCATTTCATATCGATCATTCTAAAACTCAATATCAATGCTTTCACCTGAAAAGTAGCAGTCAAGATTTCTCCCTGAACTCCGAAAGAAAACATGAACCCATGCCTTCAGACATCAAACAAAGGTAGAGTAGATACATGTTGATAATATGAGATTTAAAATACTTTTAAAGTTACAGTTAAGGATCCCCGCTTGCATTGTGTCGTAAACGATATCTTTGGATCAGTTTGGGGCCGTTGCTAGTGTCACTCCACATGAAGATGCTTTAGAGGTAGCTGTAGAGGGCAAAGCCACTTGTGACATATATTAAATAAAAACGCCAATGTGCCATTTCCCCTTTGGATTAGACCACAGTGCAAATGATTTATCCCAGGCTGCCCCAGAGCCAAACTCTTTAGGATGAGCCTGTGCCTTTCCATAAAAAACAAACTCCAGAAAAAAAATTATCCATGAAATTATCCATGCCCTGTTAGTAAAGCTTATTCAAAAGATCCAAATAAATAGTAGATATTTTCTTGCTTTGAACAGACTTAAAAAGTTGAGGACACAAGTTTTTTTCATTAGAAGGAAGTTGAGCATTTTAGCCTTCCCATTTCTGAAATCTGTACAGTTAAGCAGCTGTCTCACCTGTTTAAAGGATCCTGAATGAAGCACTGTCTCCACACCATTGAGGCCACGGCCCTGGACATGAGGTAGGAATAGTACTTTGCTCCATAGCCAACCAGGTGGCTGAATCTCAGCTGCCATGCCTATTGAGGAAATTTTAAAAAGAAGCCACAACATCAATACCTTCACTTGAGTGAAACAACAGGGCATCTTAAAATAATCTCGCTGTCAATGTGTCTTACTTCACCAGGCTGGATGTGACAGAACAAACTGGCTGAGAGGAGAAGTGATAGCAGAGTTCTGGCTCCCAAATAAAGACATTACAAAAACAGAGCATGCAATTATCCCTTGACACTGTGTATTAGTTTTGACAAAATGAAAAATTGTTATTGAGTGTGTGGTGAGAGAGGACATCACAGCCTTAAAAGGCTTAAATGTTGCTACTCCTAAAACCTGTTGAGAGAAGCTGCTCTGTGACAGCGGCGAACTATTCCAGTGAAAAGCACGTCAGGCTGTGGATGTCAAAGTACAACTGAAAAAAAAAAATCCTTTGCTTCTAATGTTTGTCTTTACTGATGTTTTTATATTGGTGGAATAAATACACCTTTCCTCCAACAAGCTTCTATAACAAAACATTCAATCATAACCTGCCAGCTCCATCTTTAAAAGGACAAAACATGGAAACTCCTAAATGGTAGAAAGCCCCCTTCTCTCCTCTGTTCTCCCAGCAGTTGCCTGAGGCGCCCGCTTACCATATCTATAAAGACGAGCTCTTTTATGATCTCTGCACGGGGACTCTGGGGGAATTCAGCTGGCAAACACTCAAACATTCAGACATTTAGAAACAGCAGCTGCCATAGTTTACAAAACCATAACAGACTGCATACATCTCCCTCCACCTCCGAATAAAAAAATAAAAATTACTTTAAACATGTTAATGATTTATACCCCAACTGCAGTTAAATAATTGTGTGAATCAGGGTGATGTAGACAGAATATTTATTCTGTGTTCATGACCAATTTGCCTCAGTACCAATGCCAGAGAATATCCCGGTACATTTTATTGTCTTTGGTGATTAAAGTGACTTTAATCTGTGTAGCTCAAAAATAAACCTTTTAATGACAAGGAATAAAGTGTAATTTGTACTTAAAGAAGCTATGCCGTCGCCTGACGTGCACCTCCTCAAATGTAACTACACGTCGAGGCTGTTATTGGTCGGCTGGGTAGCCTCGCAATGCCTCCGAGCCGACAGGAAGTGCCCCATGCCTTTTGTGGTAATTTTTACTAGAGGCCAAAACAGCGGCTGTAACACGGTGGATAAATATATTTGACCGTCACAACCCGAGCAAAATGACTCGTTTTACTATCAGAATGTCTATGAAGATTCTCAGTCAACCAGGTCATAGTTATCCAACGAAGGTTAAAGTCAAGGGCAACTGGACTTGGTTGAAGATACTGGAAGACGTTTCGTCCCTCATCCAAAGGACTTCTTCAGTTCTGACTGACTGGCAGGGAAACTCAGCTATTTAACCTCAGTGGGGTCGTTGGCCCGCGGTGAACCAGCGGTATCGATGACCCGGGCCAACGACCATTTGGTCGTTAACATTTGAAAAGGCTACACCAGCCACTCGTATACAATTTTACCCCCCTTCACGTTAGCGGAGAGCTAAGCCGGAAGTTAGCCTGCTCGCCCAGCAAAAGTCAACACAGTGGACGCTTTAGCGCTACCGCCAACTAGCGTTTGGGGGTGTAATTGCAGAATGACGGAGACACAGACGCACAAGGATAAATGCCTGGCTACCCTACGCAGGAGTATAAATCAAGCTTTACAGCAATATACTGCAGCAATATCAGATTTTTTGGCCACTAGGTGGCAGTGGAAACAAGCTATAAACACAACATTGACATAATAGGTGCATTCGAGATGACTGCGATGACTTCATAGTCTAACGTGAGCTGCACGGGGCGGGGTAAAAAAACGGACACATTCTACCTGCATGAGTGTACTGGGAGCTGACATCAATGACTGATCTTGAGGTACTGGCAAAGAAAAATGCTGCAAGACCAGGCAATAGTGTGGTTCCAACTTTGGCCAGCCACAGAAAAGCAACTGCAGCCGCCAGACTGCTTTTCGGGTTCATCAGATTCGCTTTTCGGTTTCAAACCGCGGACTCGGTTTCATTAGATTTGCAAGTTGATATTATGAAATCATATTCGTTACCTCTGAATCTACAATTTATTATAACAAACTGAGGTAGATGGTATGGCAAAGATCCTTGAAATGATTATGGTTTCATTTTAATAAAGATTTATTAGCCTTGTTATGTTTATGAAGCCGTCCTTGAAATGAAAGAAATTAATATACTGCAAAGTGGACAACTAATCCACAAACAGCATCTATAAAAGACACCTGCATACACTTTGATGATAAATAACTGCGTTCCATGACAAACTTAAGCAAACTTTGAAACAGCTGTTTGGGAGCTTAAAATGGGGGCTGCTCATCTTCACCAGGGTGAGAACTCTGTGGTCTGATCTGGGAGATCCAGCAGCATTAAAAATGCTTCAGCTCCAAAGTGTCAACTTGAGGAGACTCTTCTGGGCTGCAGTGACTTTAATAAGAGTAAATTGCCCTCCAGAGAGGTGTTCTGGCTCAGAAAACCACAGGCAAGCTAAAGCTGACGGAGTCTGCTTTGTCAGCTGAAAGCAGCAGTGATACAGTGCCTTGGGTCACACAGGTTCCAAGTCTGTCTTCATAGTCATACGAAAGGGGAAGATAGAACACACTGACAAAATACATTCACATATTCTTCTGGTGCATAAAAACAGAATAAATTGAGATTAAAAAAACAAATAGCACACAACGTTTTGTGCTTTGTGTTTTTTTAATTCAAGTTTAAAGCTATAGGGAATCCAACCTTTCATTTGAAGACTCTTTGACTCCACTGTATTTCTTATGTGGTTTACGGCCTGGAAACAGAAAGGCAGCCATTGAAGAGCTGTTTGGTATGTGGTCTGAGTCTTTGACAAGATGCTTCTAAAACACGCGTTACAACGTGCCACGAAAATGATTTTCAGACTTCCAAGCTCCTCTTTGTTTCCAATCCCTTTGCCTCACATCAAATGATTTGTGTCAACTTTTGTGAGACTGCAAGTGGTTGACATATCAGCGAGAAATCCTTTTGATCCTTACATACAAAAGAAGACAAAGTCAGAGCAGGCTTTTTAACTCTGCTCCTCTTTCTAAACTCATCTCGTGGTGTTTTGTTTTGTGGTGCTAAGGTGCAACTCCACTTTTTTCTTTTTGTTTTTACAGGAGAATGTGCATTACATGTGCTTGAGTGTGCGTTAAAAACACTGCTCATTAAAAAGAGCAGAAACCACTTGGGCCTTAAAGCTTTCAAGCCAAAAATCGCAGATTAAAGAAATGTCAACACAGCGAGCAGAGCGTCTTGCTTTCTGCCATGTATTTCCAAATATTATCTTCGGCTCAAGGGTGAGCATGTGGTCTGTGTTACTCACAGCTGATCCTCTCTCCCAGCACACAGCGGGAAATGATAGCCTTGCTTTATAAACTATACACATGTCAGTCTCACCCTAATGTTTATAATCCGTGGCTCTTCGTAACCTATTAGCCACTCAAATGTTCACTTCCCTCTGGAAACCTTTCCTGAGCCTATGTTTCTATGGGGTGAAAGGAGAGAGAGAGGGCGAATTTAAAGAAAGGAACACGTTTAAGTAGAGTCTGTCATTGAAGGGATCTAAACAAATCTGTTTTCACTTGCACTGATCCAATTCAGGAAATTAAGCACTGCAATCATGCTCAGGTTCAAATGAGGAAAACAATCCCACCGTGGTTAGCAGTGCACAAGGAGGCAAAGTGTCTATTAGAGCTTTCAGTGTGGTTTAAAAAGTTGAAGAGGAACGACTGAGACAGTGGGAAACTATATAACATAAACCACAATCTCTGCAGAGGAAGCTACAAAGCAGGGCACAAGCAGAAGACGACTCCCTGTGAGGAGAAGCACTGACGTTTGGGAGAATATACAGCAGTTGTAATCTCTATTCCTGATGGCACCCCACATAATTATAGCCCAGAGTAAATGCTCTATGAAGGCCATTCCTGGTTAAATTACGACTGTTTTTGATTCCCTTCTCCCTCTTGGCCTCATCCCCTCATCCACAGCTGCAAAAGTGGGGGAAATAGAGAGCTTTTTTTTCATTAAAGGACCGGGAAGAAGAGTTTCAAATATTTCCCCCAGGGAGAGCTCATTCAAAGTATACCTCTGCTTTGTGATTTTAGCAGGGCTTCAAAAAAGGCTTTAATCCCTTAAATGCTGCTGTGCCTGGGTAAAATATATAAAACTGGAGAGAAAGAGAGGGAGGAAAGGAGAAAGGGAAAAGAGAGTAGAACACTAAAGGACTCCTGAGTCCTGTGTTGTTTCTGTGCTGTGAGAGGAGAGTGTTTTAGGAATTCCAGAAATTATCAACCTCAAAGACTGTAAAGATATTCTGTATTCTGAGTTTTAATGAGATGGGCTACTCGAATGAAAATAAGTCAAAAAGAGTGTGTTAAATAGCTTAAAGCAAGTGGGGATGTACCGTGTTGGACGTATAAGGCAAGCCGTAGAATTTCTGCTGCATCTCTTTTAGGATTTCTGTGGTGGAGCGGTTCTGAGGTTTGCCGTGGTAGATCTGGTCCAAGACAGCATAGAAAATCTGCCCAGAAAAAAACAATCAAACAGTTCTTATGTCTTGACACATTCTGTAGAAATAGGCAAACAAATTGTTTGTTTTTTTTACTACTGAATTTAGTTTTAGTTGAGGACTGTGTCATCAATGTTCGCTAATCCTGCTATAAGACAGATAAGACAAGGAAAAACATACAATCTTTTGACAAAATCCGTAGTGGTTTCATGAACACCAAGTTAGGAAAAGAAGCTTGTTTCAACCACCAGATGCAATCTAAATTCAATGTTTATCTTTAAAGGACTGAAGGCTTTTGTACTCAGGGATTCTTCATTGCACAACACTCAAGGTTTCTGCTGTTGTGTGCTGTTGTTAAGACACTTTTAGGTATAATTCTGACATGATGTGTGAGAGTTTGGTCATTTTACCTGCAGCTGGATGTCTGCAGCTCCGCACACTTTCTTCGACTCACACAGGCGAGCCACCATACTCTCAGGCAGAGGCTGAGTAGACAATATCACAAAATAAACGTTTTAATTATTTTGCTTCTTAATTATATCTGCCGTCTGGCATTATAACAGCTGATGCAACAACATTAGAGCTAAAATGAAAAATGAAGGCGCTAATATTAGAATAAATTATGATGCACTGGAAAATATCTTTTTTGTTGGACACTCTTCAAATTGTTCTTTACTCTGAGGGTTTAGGTGTACCTGTCCAGTTTCATAATGGCGTGCAAACTGGCTGATGACTCTATAGTCAGTGGCAAAGTACTCCATGAGGATGGAGGGGACTTCAGCAAAGTCCGTCGCACATCTGGTTCCTAGAGGAGAGATGTCAGAGAACAAAAAACCTAAACAAAGGCAGTTCATTCTTCCAGTGTGGTTCGATGCACAGCGAATGCAGATGTATCGCTCACTCTTTACGCTAACGGTGCTTCTCATGAGGACAGTGCAGTGATCATTTTGACCATTATCTGATATAAAATGTATTTACAGGGAAGCGTGAGCTTTAGTATGTCTAAACAGGTGTGAACATGATGTCCACTAAAGAAGCAGCCTCAAGTTAAGTTAATGGATACTGCTATTAGTGTAACATAAATACTTTTGGGATCTTGAATTACTGGAAAAGATATCCATCAACTTTATCTGACAAGTGAACAGCATCGAATGACAGCTTTGGTAGCCAAGCCTAATCTAAAGCTCTCCTCTGGGCTTACACTTAATCGGATTTATCCTCTATTTTTCAATTTGCCACCCTGTAATGAATAACCTACATCGCTGTATCTAACAACATAATTCTAGTCTGTGACATTTGGGAACCGCATAGCCATCATTTTAAGATACAGAGCTCAGAAATTGTCAAAAATCAATGACCTCGCACCACATTTGGGGATTGTTATTTACTTTGCTAACTCCCCTGCCAGGTAAACAGTTTGAATAACACCTACTGAATCCTACAGTCCAGGCTCCATTATGTCTAACTTTCTGGTTATTTGTCATTTCTATTTAGATGTAAACTCCAGTAAAGTTTTGAAGTTGCACCTGGTTCCAGTGTCTAACCTGTCACGTGCTGGTAGCGAGTGCGTCCCAGCATGGAGTGCATGGCGTGTCCCATCTCATGAAAGAGGTTCTCCATCATGCCCGGAGTGAGCAGGGTGGGGGCCCTCTTGGTGGGGTGGGGCAGACTCAGCATCAGCACCACAACTGGAAGCTGGTACTGACCCGTTTCCTGGCACCAGCGGCCGCCACGGATGGTGAAGTGACAGTCCTGAGAGGAGGAGGAGGACGTGGGGAGATCAGAAGTGCGCAGGTAAGGTGAGATTGATTGAAAAAATTATAATGAAAATGCATATTTTGTCACTGATTTAATTAAGAAAATAACTTAAGTACATGTTATTGATTGCAACTGTGCCTTTTCTCTTCTGGCATCTAATGATAATTTTTATTAACATTATTATTTATGGATATACAATTGCATCTAAACAAATTAGAATATCGTGGAAAAGTTCATTGTGAGCAACAGACCTGAAAGTTTAAAGGATCAGAAAACCTTTTTCAGGTGTTTTGAGTTAATTAGCTGATTCAGCTAAATAGTTTTGACATACGGAAGTTTTGATTTCCAAGAGTTGTAATCATCCAAGATTAAAACAAAAGGTTTGAAATATTTACTTCATGTGTAATGAATCTAAAATATATGAAAGTTTCACTTTTTTAATTAAATTATGAAAGTAAATGAACTTTTCCATGATAAAAATTTTTTGAGATGCACCTGTATTCAGTAATATTTTTGACTTGTCTGATAACCTTTTACTACATTTGCCAGTTTCAAGGTTTCGTATTGCAGTATGTCAGTAAGATGGACTTTTTATTCTGTTATACGAATAAAATAATATTGTATTTGAATATCAATGGAATTGAGAATTGTAAGGGCAGAAAATTGTTTTCTTCTTACACTTATCATCTTTTATGCAAGTACTTATAAGAGTGCTATTTTTCTCCTGTTATTATGTCTTATATATTGTTTTAAATCTTTAACCTGTTCCATCTTTATTATTGTTCTTGTTATTCCAGTCTGTCCACATGTGTGGGGTTTAGGTCAAGGATGTGGGGTTGTTGATTGTTTTCCTCACTAGCTGTTCTTCTCCTTCCTTGACTGGGACCAGTCAAGGATCTATTGTTTCCCAAAACATAGATGCTCAGACTGTGTAAATGATCATGCAATTGTTTGCTCTGGGCCAGACATTAGTGACTGTCTTAGGAGACCAGCTGATTCTGTTGTAGTACTTCTCTGCGTATTCTCTTTTGTTAAATAAATTCTTCAAAGACAACGGTTCGTTGTAACTCAATTATATGCTCAACCTCTCACCAGGAGTACAATTTCCACAACAAGAATAAGTAAAAAAAACAAGATCATCTTAAAAATATGATAAGAACAGCCCCATTTTCAGAGGTGACGCTAACATGAAGTTGTAATGTAGATGTGTGTGTGTGTTTGTGCACACTTGATGAGGTTTATCTGGCCGGTGGAAAAAGTCACAGTAGATGTATCCCAATAATCCCTCTGTCTCATGTACGACAGCCTGGGAACACACACGCAGAAACAAACACACATACAGTATTTAAAAAACATAGGTCTTGGTAGAAAACTTGGTTTAACATAAGACATAAAACAGACTTTAACCAACGACATACATCCAATCATATTGCATATCAGGGGTGGGAGTTTGATCCCAGTCTCCTCTGGTCTGCATGTTGAAGTGTAATCATTGTGTACATGATTGTGCATGATTATTTTCTGTTTCTGATGAGCAGTCAGAACGTTAGCCTTTGCCATCAGTGTGTGAATGTGTATGAATGGGTGAATCTGACATGTAGTGTGAAGTGCTTTGAGTGGCCAGGAGACTAGAAAGGTGCTATATAAGTACGGTCCATTCACCATATTACAAAGAGGCATTACTGCCTCATTAATGCAAAAATAATCAAAACAATCCCAGATGTTTTGCTCCATTTGTGAGACTTACCAGTTTGCGGACGTCCTCGCTCCAGACCTCTCCAGCACTGGGGTGTTCGGACATGAGGGACACACCGAACAGCTGAGAGAAGAGGTTATTCAAACCCTCCATACAGGCGCCCAGAGACAAATAAGGACTGTACAGACCGGGCTCTATGTTGTACCTGCCATGAGCAAAACATAAACCACAACAAAAGGAATGAGGAAAGCAGCCATTTTGAATGACTGCTAGAGGTAATGTGCAAGCTGTCCAATCCACCCTAATTAAAGTTATTATTAAAATGACTCAAGATTACCCCTCGTCTGGAAGTGCAGTCGAGAGTGCTATTTAAAACACAACCAGATAGACCAAAAGTTCCAAAAGGCCCCTCTTAATGCAGACCTAATGCCCACACAATTAATTTTGAGGCATGACAAAGACCACCCAATTTAAATTGAGCACATTATTTCGGTAACTGTTGCAGGCTAGTGTGCAGGCAGGCTAAACATCCTCTGACCATTATACATGTGATATGTGAGGTGGTAGGACAAAGCCAGAGCTCAGGGTAGGGGAGGGTTGTTCCTGTCCTGGGGCCACCCATGCTTAAAAGGGATGCATTCATGCTGCTTTAAGGCACCTTAGATAAAAACCACCAAACCAAAACGCTTGAACACCACATCTAGTGTATTATCGGTGATGAATAACAGGCTGCTGCTGAGCACAGCTAATAGCTCTGTTTACCACACACGCACACAGAGTCCCTAATTTTAATACGGTTTGAACACTTTCCAGTTTAAGTGATGGAAAGAGTGATTGAGAGAAAAGGCATGACATCGTGACTGGTGTGTTTGTGAGAAAGATTAACAGCTTTTGGGTCTGTGTGCATGTGTGGTTGTGTGTGTGTGTGTGTGTGAGAACTTGTGTGTAGCAGAAAACAGAAGCAGCTCTGGCGTAACCGCTTTTTAATACAATCAGACTGCACCCTAAATTTCTTTAGAGATCTCCTGCCAACTAGCAGGGCCCAAAACCACGAACAGCAGAAGACTTGAAATTTGTGGCAGCATGAGAGAGGAGGACGACAAGCTAACAGATCCACTCCTCCTCAGAAGCCCTGGGAACAGTCACCAACACATGGTCGCACGCACGCACATGTGCGCGCACACACACACACACCCTTGGTGGCTGCTTAAATCCAAAGGACACATTAGGGATCTATATTGTTTGAGATTTACATAAAACTTCTGCAGAACGTGTGGCCTGTCATATTAAGAGTCTCTGGTGAGTGTTGGGAAGGAAAAGTGCAGTTCATTAAGAACAGATATCAGAGTGAGACTAACAACAGCTAAACATAGAATAAGGCAGCTGTGAATTTTGAAAGTTGCTTAAGGCCAAAGAAAATCACTGTTTAAAATGAGCAATGAGTTTCAGTAATGGGGCGACCTGCTGGCCTCGGGAGGATGAGGTGCAGACCATACTCTGCAACTCAGTTTGTGTTTGGCCGGGAAGCTCTGTGGCATATTGTTCCCTGTCTCTCTCATTCCCTCTTTTCCCGTTATCTCGCTACTAAATTGATCCAATAAAGACATAAAATGATGACAATGAAAGTGTTTCTATAACAAGATTAAAACTACATCACTTAGTCTTTAAGACGTCAGAAAAATGTGAAAAATACCTGTCACAACTGTTTTTTCCCATTTGTCCACAGAACAGTCCAATACCCAAAGATCTTCCTTTTACAAAGTTATAAAATAGAGAAAAGCAGCAACTACTCTCATTTGAGAAGCAGGTTTAGGAGTAACAGTTTTAGCACACTAATGTAGCCGCATGTCAAATGCTCTGAACTCAGCGGCAATGCTGTATGGACGAGCACAAGTAATCCTGGCCCTTAAACACACTGGGATTCAGGGCTGTACATAAAATCACTAAAAAAGAAAGACAACATGTTGAAGCAGGAGAGGTTGACAGTAACACACAACATTGTCCTGAATTTGAGTTAGAAAGAACTTCTCCCTTAACACGTTTTGTAACATCTGATACCTGAGGATGAGCTGGGACCCAACAACAAAGTACACCTTGCAGATGGACACTGATCAAGGTGACTTTATCAAATGACCGCAGGCTGAAAGATACATTTCATAAGATGTCTGTGAAGATTCTCAGTCATCCAGGTCATAGTTATCCAAGGTGGGTTAACTTTAACCCACCTTGGGTGCGTTTCATAAGATACCTACTACTCACCTTTCAGCACGCAAAACACCGCTGAGGAACGGATGATCCCACGGCATGAGCTCCTGGAAGATAAAATTGGGAGTATTTTATTTGCAGTGTGATCTCAGACAAATTATGTTAAAACAGACTAAACTGAATTAAAGTGAATGTAAAACAGAATGAAACTCATATATATTAAAACTTACATCAAGTTAAGCCTTAAAGCAATTACTACTGATATTTATATAGTTATGCTGTGATGTTGTGTAGTCGAGGAAAACATCCCTGATATGTTGTGAACAGAAAACATCACTCACAGAATTACGAGGGTTGAGTTTTTTCTTCATGTCCCCCATCATCTTAAAGTCTTTTGCTGTTCTGTGAGATAAAAAGAAAAACACAAAAACAGGTTATGTTCTAAATGACTTGAGGCATTCATTCCAGTTTTTACCCGAATGGGGGGGCAGAACCTATCCCAGCATGCATTTGGCTGAAAGCAGGGAAACACCCTGGACAGGCTGCCAGGCCACATTCATACCTGTGGGTATTTCAGAGTCTCAAGTCCAACTGTATATTTTTGGACTGTGACGAGGAATCCGAAGCACACAGAATATACAGACAGAAAATGTTCACAACAACATGACAAAACGTGACAAGAACTAATCTGTGGGTCACTCATTTCATGCTGTGTTACGAAGCCCCACCAACTTAGCACTGGCTTAATGGAGTCTTTAACGGTCTTTAAAGACAATATACAAACTAAAATCAGGCCATGATAACGGCAATGTAGATTGCCACAATGAATATTGGATCTGTTCATCTTTGACAAAAACCTTTAAGAGTAGACTGTTACCTGTCTGACAGCTTGTCTGTTAACAACTGAAGAAAGCTCATCACCGTCTCTGCGAAGGGCAACAAAAATTAAGTTGCAGCATGTAAAACTATCTAAGACTAGATGCCAAAGGCACAGAATGAGCATCTTAGAAAAATAATTTATGTAGCTTATATTAAACCTCTAAAATGAGCACTGACTAACGATAACTACGTTGATACTAAAGTGAAGAGACGTATCAACCTGGTGTTTTGGCCATCGTTCCCTTTAGGGCTCTGTGTCCGTAAGAATCGTAACCCACCAGTTTGGCCAGTTTGTATCTGCATTTCAGCAGCTCTTCCAGACACTCCATCAGGTCTGCATTTGGATAGAGGTAAACCCTGTAGGCAATTTCTCGCAACTACAAGTGGAAGAGAAGACACATGTAAGAAGACACATGTTATCTTGTATCATGAACATTTAAAAAGCAACATATCAACAAAGGATTGTTATGTTTTTATACATTAATGTAAAGTGTCCTTTTTTTATGTGACTTAGACTGTACTCTGACTTTATACTTAAGCAATAGCTCACGACAGGCCGTGGTATACGCTTATTATATCACAGTTAAGGGGCGTTGTTCGGTGCTGGCAACCCCCTTCACTGTGATATAATAAGTGTATATCACGGACTGAAGTGAGCTATTGCTTTTATAAAACGGTTACCAAGTGTGGCAAAAATAAAGTAGGCTAACAGACGCACTACAATTTGACTTTGTTTTATTTCATCAACAGACATTTCTTTATGAATACAAAAAGTAGTTCCACCAGGCTGCCGGTGGGCTATTATGGTTGCTAAGCAACATAGACCAAAGGCTAGAATTATTAGAACTATTTATTTATGCATGTTGCTGTTTATTGTGCAGCCACTAAAAACTGTCCAGCGTCAGTAGATTGATTTTGGTAACTTATAATATGCTTGCTCTGCTGCCAGCAGTGTGTAAAATAATAACACTTTAATATTATACCTACCATAAAGGGCGGAATTGCGTCTCTCCTTGAGCAGTAGTCTTTTGAACAGGTTATTGAAACTTAAACTCTGTTGCAATATCGCAGACATCTGGAGCAAGTAGTGGACTGCTGAGTGTGTTTGTGTGTGTTTTCGTGTGTGTGAGAGAGGGAAATGTTGAATCATGTAAAAAGCAATGATTTCTCTCTCTCTCATCATTTATTTATTTATCTTCGCCAGTAAAATGCGATCTGTATCAGATCTGTATCAGATCGCATTTTAATACCAGGTGTAAATGGGGTGTGAGACCCCCACGAAACTCAGATTATAACTCAAACCCTGTTTGTCGCGGAGTGATACGGATCTGTGCAAAGGAATTCGACGTCATACCCGTTATATACGCTCATTATATCACTGCTAATCAGATTGCTTGATTTGAGCTACCTGTTTTATAAATTGTTGTGTCATACTGCCCTCTACTTTAATTCATGAGCGAACACTAAAAATCACATTGGCTTTACTATCATCATATTAAGGTTACAGAAAATCTGTTAACATAAAGTCTATTCTTATAACTGTATAACATAAAGATTCTAAAAGTTTTAAATCAGTAAAGTATTAAAATCATTAAAACTAAAGTTAATAATTTTAAGAGAGAACATAATTGCAACGATTTTATAGCTACCAGAACTGCTTACTGGTAAGCAAATGCCAACAGGAGGCTGGAGTGAATATTTCATTAAAAAAAATGTGATTTGAATCTGATTACTACTCAGGAAAGAATATGCTGCCATGATGTTCAACCTGCCCTTACATCCCGGCCTATGATCTGTTATGTGGCAAAGGCGCCACCTGCAGAGCAAAAGGGAGAAATGTTCCAGTGACCCAGACCAAGCAATGTACATACCAAGTCATCGGGGGAATCTGCATGTAATCCCCCAATTTGGATGAAGCTCCCTTCGTTAGCAAAGTGCAGGTGTAGATGCTCAGGAATCGCAGACCTCGCAATTCTGTTGGGCATGTGAGAGCCGAGCAGAAACTCGTTGTTTAGATCCAGCAGCTTCACATGGAGGGAAACTGCTTCTTTCCTCTGCAGAGAAAAGAGTAGCAGGTTCAGTAAATATGCTACACTGGACAGGGGAGAGGTATATTAAAACGTGTGTTATTGATGTTGTCGGTTCACGTTCGTGTTTCACAGCCCAGTGTGAAGCTGGAGCAACTGCATGTCACGAGCGTCTCACCAGTTTGTCATCCAGATGAATTCCGCTTATTTCAAAGTCGAACATGAACAACTCAGCCACTCGTCTACAAAGGACAGACGAAAAAAATCAATAACTTGCCATCATTAGACATGATATTATCATTAGATATCAATATCATTATGGAAAGAAATAAGCAATACATTCTATATACACAGTTGTCTCAACAGGCCCTACAACAGAATCATATACTAAATAAGATGACAGTAAAATTACCTTGTATCAGGGTCCAGCTGAGCCACAATGTCTGGGTTGTCCAGCAATTGTTTTAGGCTCTTGCACAGCTCAACATTAGTGTTCAGCCTGAAACACACAACCAGCAAACCTGAATATCTATTAAGAGCTACTCAAGATCTGCCTCACCTGAAGCATGCAGACAAATGTCTTTTAATGACCAGCACCACTTTACTGTTGTATGCAGTACAATGCAACTACTTTTCTTTTTGATCCTAACCTACGTGTGCTGTGGTGTGTATTTGTATTGTGCAGCTTTGAAAGATCTTTATATAGCCTCTTACTTCTCCACAACTGTGCCAATCTCTATGCAGGTCTTCTCAGCAGCCTCACGAAACGCTGGATCTGGATGTGCTACCTTTACAAAGTCTGCCTGTTAAAGGGAGAAAAATTACATTTTACTCATGACTCTACAGGAATCACATAAAGCATACAATGCACAACACATGAGTCACAGTGAGCACCTTTGTGTTTAACATCTCAGTCTGGTATGGTACCCTGACCAAAGCTAGGGTCATTAGAAGAGCTGGGAAAAGTGTAGTTAGCCAGCAAAAATCATTAGATGTTCTGCATAATACTGATTGAATCTATTGTTTAATAGCTTCCCTTCCACTGTGAAGTTAATGTCTTCTGGTCAATGCCTCTGGTAAACAAACCAATATTTAAGGGATCCTTTGAATCATGCGTAGTGTGTAATGAACAAACAACTCTAAAATATCCCCATGCGGGGAGATTTGCACATTTTTATATTACTAATGATGTGTGATGTGTTTGCATTTATTGCATAGACTGTATATAAAATTATTGTTATCATTGGTAAGACAAAGACAAATTTCATTTTGGTTAGAGAGAGAGTCTCTCAAACAGCAATATTAGGCTATCTTGGCTCAATTGTTGAGTGCCTATGGGATCAAATAACATAATGATGATCCCGCAGGCATCCAGGAATTGAGCGAAACTAAACAAGTAAACTGGAGGGGGGCACCTTTTCCAAAGCTTTGTCTGATGGAATTCCCACAGTCTCAGACTTTGAAAACGGCTGCTGTAGAGAATAATGCAGTTGAATGATGTCACTTCTGACAAACTGTATCCTGCCCTCATGTTCTGAAATCTACAGCATGTATTGTTTTATTTCATTCATTAATAATGAATCCATCTAAGACAACACGCTACTGGCTAAGATAACTCTGTACATTAGATTGTACTCTGCATGGAATAATAGAATTATACAGGACATCTCTTTGTTTTGATATTGGCATTATATATCAGCCTCTGAAAAACCTGTATCAGTCAACCACTAATAATGACTTGTTAAATCACCTGGGTAGCTTGGGGTATATAGTATCCATGAAATGATGATATTAAAAGCTGGTGAGGAAGGCCAGCTCGGTGGCGGGGATGGAACTGGACAATGTAGGGACAGTGACTGAGAGGAGGATGGAGGGAAGCTGAAAGCCATCATGAACAACCCTGTGCTGCTGTGTCAACCTGAATTTCCCCTATGTAGGATTAATAAAAGGCAGCCTATATTTTATCTTTAAGTTATATATTTGACCAGTTAAAATGCAACGCTTGAACCCAATTTGGGTGTACAACTCACCAGATCAGCCACTTTACACAAACCATCTGAGAGCTGGTCAAAAGACTCGACTGTCTCAACGCCTGGAGAACAAGAACAAGCGTTTTCCACCAGACGCTCTGTGTTCTTGAGAGCTGTCTTTGAGGCGACCTGGAAACCTGCAGGACAACTCAGCTCTGGCACCCCGAACAAACCCTGTAAACCAGAGGTCACAGACTCTCTATTGATATTACTTTATTGAACCTGTAATTATGCATTAATGTAACTTAGCAGTGTTAAAGACATACGAACCCCGTTTTTCTCGAACAGGTTCAACCTCCTTTGAGTCTGGGCATTGAACGCAGCTCCAACAGGAGACCATGTCGTGACATTTCTCCGAACATGCGTCCATAAGCTTCTGTGCTTTACAACGTAAAGCAATCTTTTACACGCAGACATTTTGTCCCAAAGCTGCTGTAAGTTAACGTTTTGTGCTGTTGATGTCTACAAGTCGCTAAAGCTTGTAGTGTGTGCTCACAGAGGACATTCAATACTTAAACTTCAACATGAGCCTGTTTGCAAAAGCCGGACATATAAATAACTAATCTAAATAACGTTAATATATTTCTATGACTTTCTTCTCTCTCAGGGTTTTATTGTCACGGGCAGTATAACGTTAATGTTACCTGTCAATCCAGAGTCAAAGCTGCTCACATGTTAGCTCCCTGGCTAACAAACTGATATAAATGACTGTCACAGGTGGTATTTTCGTCACAAAGTAAGAATATATATAAATACATATCGGAGAAACTAGCAAATAAAAGGATATGACACTATTTATTATTCGGAATAGTGCCGCATTTTATAATGTTGCTAAGTAACAGTAATTAAAAACTGTCCAAATAAAATCTGTCGAAAGTGCGACAAGCTACTGAAAACAATTATGTCGTCACACTGACGCGACGGTGAGTACCTTTGTTTTGAAGCCCTTCACAATAAAAGCGGCTTAATGTCGCGCACCAAAATACAATCTACATTACATTATTGCTCATTATATTTAACTACACAATTACACAGCAAATATATAAATATAATATAAATAATAAAGACAACAATCAAAAGCAAAATTTACTTGTTATTTCATCTGGAAGATGACGATTGTGTCCTCCGGGAATGCCTCAAAATATTTTAAGGGGTGGGTGTTGACACATCTAGAGACAGAGCAAGTTACCAAACCTACATGCAATAGATTGTCTCTATATTTATTATTACATTTCATCATAGGTAAATTTAAATCTTAAAAATACTTTCAAATAGAGGAGTAAATGTCATTTAAATTATTTGATGAACATATTACGCTGTCTCCCTGTAAGCATACTTCTCCAATTCATCATCCATCCATCGTCAACCGCTTATCCTGCGTACAGGGTCGCGGGGGGCTGGAGCCAATCTCAGTTTACATCGGGCGAAAGGCGGAGTACACCCTGGACAGGTCGCCAGTGCAAACAATTCATCTGAAGCACAAATACAATTTCTTCGGCGTCCTTCCACAAGCTCACCTTGGCCCACAATGTGTGAAAATCTATTTGCCTCTCTGAAGACAGGACTAAGTCTGTTTTGCAGTTAATGCATATCTATTCAGTTGTATTTCTGAATGTGTGCAAACTTTATACCTGCAAAGAATAAACAGAACAAGACACTAATTAGTATATAATCACAGTTCCTTTTGAAGCAATTGTGGATTTACGTTAAATTGGATCCGCATTGTCCACACTATTCAGTTTTTGAGAGTCATGGGTGTCTACATGAGAACCCTGATGGTCGCAAGAGCCCAGTAAGGAGAAACAAATTAGACAAATAGCTGACACCTACAGCAACATAATGATATAATTTGCCATGTTAGAGCACTATAAACAGACGGATCATGTTCATGATGTCAATGGTGAAGATTAAGTCAAACACAGAATACACCTTGAAATTATGTCTTTATTAATAGGAGGAATAACTCATTCATTGCACTCCACAACCACATTGCCTTAATAGTTTTCCTGTGAAGTCAGTTATTAAAGGTGTAGTACGAAAAACATTAAGCAAAGTGTCATAAAGCGACTGTATTTAGAAACCTCCCCATAAACAAAACCAAACCATGTGACTGGCAAAATGTTTGAAGTCAACTCTGAAAAAGAATTTAATACTGAAAATAGGTAACACAGGACAACAATAAAAAGGTCTTCCCAATATGAGAAATCGCAGTATTTTGCAATAAGTACTTTGGTTTTTGTACTTGGCAAAAAGGTACCAATTTGTGACATATGGCAAGACAATGCAGTAAATGTAAAAAAAGAAAGAAAGAAAACAAGCTCAAACTTAAATAAACGTTTTGCTACTGACTGATCGCCAAACCTTTCAGACACTGTAATCCTCAATCACATATTTACACCTATTCACTAGAACAAAACCACAAACAAAAAAAATGGTATGGGGAAAAGAATTCATTATCGTTCATTTGGCTCATATGAACTCATAACACAGTCGAGCTTTAAGTTTGTGGATTTACAAAGGAGTGCTGTAGTCAAAAGTCTGAACGTGGATTCGTTTCGTCCCAATGAGTGTGCTTGGACATCTGCCGACCTAGAATTGTTTCTTGTCCTTAACCTTAGCTCAAAAAACAACTGCATGTCTGAGACTACAGTAAACTTAGTTGACCCCTGAGTTTCTAATGCAAAACTAGTGTATGAAATACCTCATTACAGTGTATTTTAGTGCAAGCCAGCAATATGCTTGATTAAACAGAGGTATATTAGATAGCACCCAAGCTGACAAGATTCCCCAGAATTGTTACTCTGCTGGCCAAATCACAACAAGCCTTATGGGAGGTGGTGTTTTGCTCTGCATCCTTGTGAAAACCAGCAGTTCAAATGCTTGAATTTGTATTACATCTATAAACATGTTTTTCATAGAAAATATAAATATCCCTGAATGAAACAGATTCACAGCATTTTCTCTCGAGGACTCCAGTGCTACTACCATAACGTGGCCATCAAGTGTCTTTAAGGTCTCCAGTTAACGTCCGTCTCCGTCTGTAGTTCCAGCCGCTACGCCCTTTATTCACTGTCGTGGTAACTTACCGTCCGCTTGCCCCGGTTACGGGTGTTCACGCGTGCCTTTCGCTGCGGTTTGCTGTACGACTCGTCACTGTCCTCCTCTGAGGCAGACCGGCGGCGGCGCTGCCTTAGCTGGCGGCTGCCAGTCCCTTCTCTGATCGCAGCCCGCCTGCGACTTCTCCTCTTTGGACTACTGTGGGACCCTGAGCTGGCAAACGAGTTTTCGGAGGCCGAAGACGACTGCTCACTTTCTGAGTCAGAACTGTGATTGCTGCTGCTGTAGCTTTCCTTCCGTTTGTGTTTTGGCCGCCTTGCGTTCTTCTTCCCGCTCCTCAAACGACCAACATCTTCCTCCTCCTCGCTGGAATCAGAGTGGGAAGAGGTTTCGTCCTCATTGCCGTTACCGTCCTTTTGTTTGTATTCCCTTTTGGGACGCTTTGAGGGGCCTGACCTGCTCTTTCTATTGTTCTTGGACACTGGCTCCTTCTCTCCACCCTCCTCTTCAGAGTCTGAGGTGTAAATGCGTTTTCTCTTGGAAGACAGTTGATTCCTGGCTTCATTGGGAGAGGTTCTATTGGACTCTCTCTTGATATTCCCGTCTTCCTTAGACGCTGTGGGTGTTTTCTTACCGTTCCTCTGTTTGCCCTTGCTCGCAGAAGCAGAGTCTTCTTCCGAAAGAGAGTTGTCACTGATGTATTTCTTTTTTGGCAGGGCTCGGAGACTCAGCCGTCTATTAGATGTGTTGTCCGAATTATCCGACTCTTCGTCCGATGAGCCAGTGGAGCGTTTTCTCCTCGACTTGCTCTTGGGTTTGTATTCCTGCTCAGAACTGTCTGAAGCTGAGGTGTCACTGTGAGGCCTTTTATATTTACTCTTGTTTCTTGTTGGCCTCTTTGACTTGCTTTCACTCTCAACTTCCTCACTGGAGTGATTACTTTCTACTTCGCGTCCTTCATCTTTTTTTAGTCTTTTCTTGCGTGGGCCGGATCTCTTTGGAGAATCACTGAGTTCCTCTGATTCTGCACCATCCAGTCGATTAGTTGAGGCAGATTTTTGTTTAGCTTGGCTTTTTGACGGTGAAACTTTGCTCTTTATCTTAGAGTCCTTGTGGATGGCTTCCTCCACATTTCTTCCATTTTGGTGTGGGTGTTTCTGAGACACGCAGTCTTTGTCCTCTTCATCTGAGCTTACAGGAGATTTGTGTCGTGGGATCCTGCGTTCAGTGTCTTCTACCTCCTCGCTTGTAATCCTCTTTTTCCTGGCAGGAGTGGCTGCTGTGCTTTTAGACGGTTTCTGAACCACGTCATCCTGCTCCTCTTCCTCCTCAGCTTCTCCAGAACTGTCGTCTGCAGATTCCTCTTGCTCAGAGTTGCTTTCTGGCTGTTTTGCACCGTGTCCGTTCATGTGGGACAACGTTTCTGCAGAAGAAAGGAGGAAAACAAATCAAACTCATAAGAAACTGTCATCACAGCTCCAAGAAAGTGGCAACTAGGAATCAAAAACTAAAAACTGATGAGGACATTTCTCACCATTTCCCTTAGCAGCTTGTCTTGACGTCCTCTGTTTGTTGGACCTTGTATGTCCATTCTGCTGATTCTGGGAGGAGGTTGAAGCATCACTGTCATCGTCTTCGTCCTTGGACTCAACATCTGATTCCTTTGTTTTTCGAGAAGCTAGAAAGAGAATCAAGAAAAATATATTTTCAATAAGCTGAAGTAGAAAGAAAAATGCAAATACAATTTCCGATTTTAAATGTGATGGTTAAAATTTTGGGTTGTATGATAGTGGTATTAAGAAAAGCATTTGTCTACCACGTGTTGATGACTTCTCGTCAGAATCTGAGCTGCTCAGGATCACTGCGGTGCGTTTGCTGGCCCGGACTGTGTGGCGAAGGCGGCTGCTGCTCCTCCTCGGCTTCTCCTCCTCCTCCTCCTCAAAGTCTTCATCTGATGCTTCAAGGAGTTTGATTTTATTCACAGCAGCCCTTGCAGTCTTTCTCTTGAGTGACCTACGAACCGTGATTTCCTCTTCCCCCTCAGAGCCCTGGGATGTGGCTCTGTCAGAGTCCTGGTGGCGACGTCTCTCCCTGTGAGAAGACCTGCTGCCGTGCCCGTTCACCTCTGCTCTGTCCTCTGAAAACGAGCCATGCAGAAAGATGTTTAACACATTTGGCTGGTGGGTTTTGAGATTTGCAGAAGACTGGTCAGTCAGTAGCGTCAAAGTCCTTCTAGGCAAGTCATGCCATTCAGTCACCATCTTGGCAACGCCTCCAGGCAGCTATTTCAGACTAACAAGACCAGGCTCCTATCTGAATGAATGGGGAGAGAGCCAGAACTGCACTTTTATTGGTCACCAGGACATAAAACTGCATGACAAGTATCAGCAGTAAAATCTGATAAAAATTGCTGAAAAAGTTTGACGACTTTGCCTCAAAATAAGGTTTAAAAAGCGTTTTCCCAAACCGGTTATACTTCTACTACGCATGCATCACCACTCCCGTGCATGCGCAGTAGAACCACACGATTGGCTGAATACATGTTTCCCGTTTTGGCTGTTAAAAGCAGACCATTGGCTTTCTAGTGGGAGTGGCGGGATAACTGCAATCTTTGCCGTTGCGGGCTTTCCCCGTAGAGTTTTATTGAGGATGTGACTATAAAACATCTCTGGTAGCGTTTACCTGTGCGCTTCCTGTCTGCGCCAGCGCTGTTTCGGGTTAGCCGTGTGCTCCTGCTGTTTTTGCTCCTGCTGGGGTAGCGACGACCTGACGACTGGGAGGACATCTTTC